TGTGCAGCGGCTCAGCTGTAACTTTGTTTGAAACTATTTTCATTGACGAAATAGAGCAAAATCATGCAATATCATCGCGATCTCACAAAGTTCCATTATAATCAACGAAGCTCCCTACACTGCACAATGAATCTCTTATTTACACCCTGTCTACACTTTGTTTGTCATAATGAGAGGATTCGTGAGCTTACATAATTCAGCACTGAACAAAACGCCAGTGTTTCCAGCAGTGAGTGTATTCTGATTAACATTGTGTTCAAGGGATCAACAGAAATCTGTGATCCATTACTCAACGCTGCAAAAACACATTGCAAGTAGAAACCTTTGATGCTCCCCTGAGCGCAAACACACATATACTGATCGGGTCAGTAGCACTGGTGCTCCTAAATATTTTTTCATACGCAGTAGTTTTTAGTCGCAAATGCAAGTGAAATGGTCGCACTGTAGAGCCCTGCGGTATTATTATTATTATTAAATATAAATGTATTAATAATAACTGTTACATCAGCAACAATAATAATAACAGGAAAATAAAATTTCTTGATGTTGTTTTAAGTGTGATGAATGTTACTGTATTTATAAATTTGTATTGTTTTATTGGACTTTTATCTGACACGTACGTATATATAAATGATTCTGGGGTGCAAGGCACAGTACTTTCTATTTTGGTCTGTTATCAACTAAAATTAGATGAAAGCATCTATAACATACAGCTATAGAAATATGACTGATCAAAGAGGGATAAATTGAATCATTTGGGAATACTTGAGCAATTTATGTTTTAGATAAAAAAATATTAAATTAAATTAGTTATTTAAAAAAAAATTGTGTTGCACTGTGCCATTTCAAAGTTTTAATTTACTGCATATTCACATTTTCCTAAATATTTTAACCAGGGAAGGGATTAATATTCAGAATATATACTGATGCAGTTAATTTTATTATTATTATTTTTTTTTTAGAAATATAAGTAAACGTAGGTTTACAAAAATATTCTACAAGATTGTTGAAATTAAGACTTTATTACTGCCTGTTCCAACTATCAAGGTTACAGAGAAATATGAAATGTTCTGTTCAGCTTTATTTAATTTTAATTTAATTATGATTATCATTTATATATTTAATTTATATTAATTTTATATATTTTATTATGAAAGCAGCATTTCAGTGTGCCAGCTTGTCAAAGAAATTTGCATCTTTCATTCACAGGAAGCTGCATATGATTTACCCTTGTTTCTAAATATAAAGTATGAGGACATGACAAAAATTATGCAGTTTCCTAGATTAAAGGGGCGACACAGCTCGCATCATCTTCACGCTCCTCTATGTCCCATTTAAGAGTAGTCTTTTCAACTTGGTGCTTCAGTTGTATTTTAACTTACTTTTAATATATCTGCAGGAAACATCATCCAAAACATCTGACCCAGATCTAGTTGTTCCCCGAGGCCAGAAAACATCTTTCCTTTGTTTGACAAGAACTAAAACACTCCCCTGTGTTTGTTCCCTTGTCCAGGTGACTTTGAAAAGGCTCTTTTAAAAATGTCTGTGTGCCTTGGGCCATGTACCTTGAGCAGTTTAGCATGAAAATATTCACTCGGTCAGGTTTTAACGATTTGTGGAACTCCTTTCCCATATGAGAAACTTTCATGACCCTTGACAGCTTTACCACAATATTCCTCATGTGGTTATGTGTTCATTTGTAAGCAGAACAAGAGTACAGGATGTCTGTGAGCACACTGTTGAGTTAGTGCTGACTGCTACTGAAGTTTCAGACTGTTATTGTTCATTAATGACCCCGTGAAATCCAAATGTCACTTTTGTTGTGTTTAGTAAAAGTACTAGATTTCCAGTAAAATTTTAGCTGATAGCATTTAACATTTCCACTCTTTCTCTTCTGGGAAAACCAAATATTCATGATATCTTGGTCTCGGGACTTGCAGTACACATGTGGTGCTTTATCCCACAATGCATGACCTTTTTTTCAACGGATTTCCAGTGTAAACCGGAAGTAATATTGCTGTGATTTTCCTTTTTTCCGTACTTTTCCGTAGATTATAATAGGATGCTATTTGCTAAATTAAACATGCTACATGATAAGGTCATGTGACATTTGCATACTGCATATTTAAATATATTTAAATAAAAATAGTAGGCTACATTAAGTGTTCAGCATGCAATAAGCTGCACACCAGTGTTATTTCATCATACTATTACAGTTTTTATTAATTTATTATTTTGAATCAGTTTTTTATATATTTTCCATTTTCATTTGAATTTTAGTTAAAGATTTAGTATTTTTATTTTGCGTTTATTGGGCATTGTAATTTAGTATATGTCTATAGTTTTTATTCATTTTTATTTGTTTTAGTTTTTTTTAGTACACCAAGTTAAATTTTTCTCATTTTCAGTTGATTTATCAACTAGCTGAAATAAAATGTTTTTTTTTTTATTTCGGTTTGTTTATTTTATTTCTTGTAACAAAATTTTTTTTTTTTTAATAGTTTTAATTTTAGTTTTAGTTTGTTAACTATAATAACCCTGCATCACACTAGTATTAGAGTCCAAACTTAACTAATAACTCCAAATAAACTGAGGAATAAAAAAAAATTAAATAAAAATCTCTAGAAACCATTGTTCACCATTTAGCATATAGATAAGCAGCTTTTGAATAGCTGAATCATAAAATGAGTTTTGTATTTACCTGCATATGTTGTTTGAGTTGATCATACCATTTATTCTGTAGTGTTCTTGTATTTAGTGAGTCTACAGGCTAAAATCATCTTTCTGGAGAATGTTTTATGTTTGTATGAGGAGTGGGCCAGTCAGATGTGAATGGCTACTGTTGATGGTTACTCACTAACTGGATCTTCTAAGCTGGTTACACAGATGGAGAACATTGATAAACCTCATTTTAACATCATTGCAATCCCTGGAAAATAGAGCACTTGTTTTTTTCCCTGTAACTTATTATGTTAATGAATGGCCTGTGAAGTTGTAAAGAGAGACCTTACAGGACAGTGGTTTAGGTTTTCGGTGAAATGTTTTGCAAGTTTTCTAGCTACATCCCTGTCCTTATATTTAGCTAAAAACATCCTTCCAAGTAACTGTTTGCAACCCATTTCACCTCTGAAACATGATGAACTGGATATATATATTTGAAAAAGCAGAATGGAACTTGATTTTAACTATATATGTTAATAGATTTGAGCTATACTTAGAATGAAATAAATGTATTTTAAATATAGTACTTTTTCACTTGGGAAGTTTATTAGTATTAAGGTAATTATTTGATTGGATCATGCAAAATGGCATATTATTGGTTTAATATTTTTCCCTGTAATATGGCATTGGAAGTGTCAACAGAAAAGTCATTTCAGAGGTGGTGAAAGCCATATTTTGATCAAAGATTATTAGAACTAACACTTTTTCTTTAGAATAATATTAACAATAATACATTAATGAATTGGCCACATAATAAAACCAGGAGCATTTATTGAGACATTTACTGGAACATTTACCGTTCAAAAGTTTGGGGTCAGAACGTCTCTTCTGATCACCAGGACTCCATTTATTTGCATATACAGTAAATGCAGTAATATTGTCAAATATTATTATGATTTAAAATAACTGTTTTCTATTTGAATATATTTCATATTTTAAAATGCAAAATGTAATTTGTTCCTGTGAGGCAAAACTAAATTTTCAGCATCATTACTCCAGTTTTTTGTGTCACATGATCCTTCAGAAATCAATGCTGCTTAGTATTTTTGTGGAAATTGTGATACATTTTTTTTCAGGATTCTTTGATGAATAGAAAGTTTAAAAGCATTTATTTGCTTTTAAACTTCAACAGCATTCAGTTTAATGCATTCTTGCTTCATTATTTAATGTTGTCAGACATGGATTCAGAGTACATCAAAAAAACCTTCGGTTCCTTTGATGACCCTACAGTGAGCAACACAAGATGACCTCAGCAGAACTAGACTTCTTACAAAAGAATAAGCTTAGTAAGATCGATTCCCACGCCTCCTTCCACTCGTTTACTGTATTTAGACAGTGCTAAAGGGTTCATGACCCTTTGATGACCCCCAAACTGAGGTCTCCATTGGGTCATCTTGTACCAAAGCACATTTTAAGGGTAGTGCAGAAAACAGTAAGTGAGCTTGCATGCAGCTATTGTTTTATTAATAGTTTTCAGATCAACCTGCCATTTAAATGTCATTGTAAATAAAATGAATAGTGTTATACACTTAGTTTCAACAGTTTGGGTTCAGTAAGATTTTTTTTTTTAAAACAAATTGATACTTTTATTAATCAAGCATGCACTAAATTGAATAAAAAGTGACCGTAAAGTCTTTTACATTGTACAAATAATTCTATTTCAAATAAATGCTGTTTTTTTTTTTACTTTTTCGATTTATCAGAGAATCCTGATAAATGCTTTTATCACAGTTTCCACAAAAATATTATGCAGCACAACTGTTTTCAACATTGATAATAATAAGAAATGTTTCTTGAGCTGCAAATCAGCATATTAGAATGATTTCTGAAGGATCATGTGACACTGAAGACTGGAGTAATGATGCTGAAAATTCAGCTTTGCATCACAGGAATAAATTACATTTTAAAATACATTGGAATAGAAAGCAGTTATTTTAAATTGTAATAATATTTCACAATATAACTGTTTTTACTGTATTGTAGATCAAATAAATAAGAGACTTCTTAAAAAACATGAAAAAAGCAACTTAGCAACTCCCCAAAAAATCTTTTAATTGGTAGTATATGTCAATCACATGATCTCTTCTGGTCTAAGTGAGCAGTATTTGGACAGAATAAGCCACAAAGTGAACCAGAGATTCCACTGAAAGTCAAAAGGTCTGGCCCTGTGACAATACTGTAACCTGGTGAATTTGTAGACCTACAGAAAAGGTCATTTAGATCCCGTGACTCCTGTATTTCTAGGACTTATTGTTTGCATTGTTCGTTTGTGTGTGCAGCTCTTCAGAAGTCAGACAGCGATGTGAAGGCCATGAAGAAGCAGGCTGAGAACCTCACAGTGGAGTACGACCGTCTGCTGGAGGAACACGGCAGACTGCAGGTCAGAGCTCACGCGTGTGACACACCGCTAACATCTTTCCTTGACCCTAGTGAGCTGCCTCACTGTCTGCAAATAACTGAAGTGACCTGAAAAAAGATGAATGATTTCAGTAGCATCTGAAGTATGTGAGTTTAGATGTCTCTGGCGAGTCTCTGGTTAAAGGGGTGGTTGACTGGTTTTTTTATAGGCTTGAGTGTGTTTATGGGGTGCAGTCTAACATGTGTTAATGCTTCGTTTGTTAAAAAACGCATTATTTTTCACATAATTTACCTTCATTCCACACCTCTCTGTCCCTTCTCCTCTGAACTCACTGATAATTTCCTGCTTTTATGAAGCCCCTCCCTCAGAAATACACGATGGGCTCTGATTGATTAGCTAGCCCAGTGTGTTGTGATTGGCTAAACCGCCTCTAGCGCGAGTCTAAACGTCCCGCCCCTCAACATAGCGGCATGTGCTCCGGTTGTATTGTAAACAATGAAGTCGTCTATATTGCTTATCAATTTGAGACGCAGAGGATATCATTGAAGAGAATCGTGCAGAACCTGTGCAAGCACAGCTTTTAATGGTAGGCCTAAGCTCGCAATCAACCACCCCTTTAAACATTTATTCTATTTCTTATGCTAAGCCTCGTATGCATAAGTACCAATCGAGTTGAAGTCTTATTCAATGCAGCAAATCCGTTCTTTTCAATGAACCATTTCACTGGTTCGCTTACGTCTTCACTCAAAAGTGTACATAAAAGTTCTAGCATGCCATTTTACTTTAAAGGGGTCATATGATGCGATTTCAAGTTTTCCTTTCTCTTTGGAGTGTTACAAGCTGTTCGGTTTGAGAGAGGCGGGGCATAGAGGACCTACAATAATGTACAGTATTTGAAAAATAATGTGTTTTTTGAACATTAAAGCATGTCAACATATTCTGTTACACCAAATACACAAAATAATGATCTTTAAAAAAGCATCATATGACCCCTTTAATTTAAATGTATTTGTGTAAGCATGCAGGATTTTTTTGATTTGTTGGTAAATTTGATTGTATTCTTCCATGAACTCATTTAGTGAAAGTTCATGGAAGAATAATAAGAAAAGTGTTTAATTGTTCTTTTAAATATTTTTATTTAATTTACTTTGCAACAGTTGCTGTTTGGTTCAAATTATGTTTACTCTTAAAAGAAATCAGCTCACAATATTGAAACTCATGTGGCTGATGTTACTAGAAGAGATTGCCTCACTCTCTCTCGGTTCACTTTTTTCTGTACTTTTATTACCCTGAGGTCTGTGCACCTGTCAGTCGTCGTCCTCTGGAAGCATGAACGTTATGACTGGTAGTCTTCTCAAGTGTGTGTAAGTGAGAGAGAGGGTGGGAGTCAGATAGATAGGCTTCTCTTGTTTACATATAAATAAGCAGCTCATAAGAGACCGTGACTCATTGCATGTTACACGCTCGGCACACAGCAACAAGGTCAACAAGGTGCTTTCTGCTTTCATGCACATCACAGCGCTGTGAAGCCCATTCTGTCATCCCATACAGTTTTATATATACAGTGTATAAAGCATGCAGGACACAGCTAGACTTCCCGAAGTCATGTCAGCCACCCAAAATCACTCGCCAAATCAGTTGGTGACGTTCTTTCTGCTCTGTCTCTGAACGCAGGCCATATGTGACGCTCAACAGGACAAGAAGTCAGACTGAACGAAAACCATCATGCACCTGCTCTCTTTCCTGCATCCTCATTGGCTGATAGCAGCTCAGCTGGGCAGCGCATCACTTCTCTGGCTGTGGAAGAACAGGGTTCCGTTCTTCATTCATGCGCTTTCACGTGATTCATTAAAGCCTCTGTAGGGTTTTCACACACTATAAAATGTTTTCTTTCCATTTTTGTTGAGAGCATTTGGTGTTTAAATTTTATTTCAAGTGTTTTGGTTATAAAATATCAGAATGAGTATTAACATTTCTTGATTCGTGTCAGTTTATGTCAGATACATTGAGCCTAACCCATGAAACACAAGCAGAGTGAATTTCTGTGGACAAATCATTCTTACTTAAAGGAGTAGTTCACCCAAAAATGAAAATTTGATGAAAATTGACTCATTATCAGGCTATCCAAGACTAATTTGTTATCCAAGAACATATTTGAAGTAAGTTTGATATTAAAAACGCATCACACATCTTGCAAACAAGCATTACATGTCACAAGATGTTAACTGATGGACTGGAGTGGTGTGTATTACTTGTGGTTTATTGTGATGTTTTTATCAGACTCTCATTCTGACGGCACCCATTCACTTCAGAGGAACCACTGATGAGCAAGTGAGGGAGAGTACATTTTCAGAAGTTTTTTTTATTTTTGGGTGACCTATTCTTTTAAATAGCCACATTGAATTGAATGCATCAATTTACGTAAGCGTGATTTTAAAAACCATTTACACAGATTCATTCAGCTTTTGATTCATAAATGAGTCTCTTTGTTTATAAGGAAGGATCAAGAAAAACTTATGATAATTGAAAAACAATATGGTAATTGTTGGGTTTCAATTTTTTTTTAATTAACTGCTTTAATTTTCTTGCCTCATGGGAGAAACCTTCAGACTTTCCTTATGAAAATGGAGATTTGGTTGCAGTACAGATGCATGTCTTGGTTAATTTTAGATGTTTGATTTACAGGGTACACGACACTTTACACCCAGTAAGCACTTAAGAAAGAAAATCCCTCCAGTTTACGATCGACAAGCCTCGTTTGTTAGTTTTACTATCATGCTATATGGAGATATTTTTGTTTTATTTTGTCGTCTTGGGTGTGGGATAGCTCACTTTTTTTTCAGGGCTATTGTAGAGCAGAGCGAGTAAACCGCTTCTTTCCAGTCCTGTCTGGTTTGAGGCCACTGAGTTGGTATAATCTGATATGAGCTCGGCAGGGCTGTTACAGTGGGTAAGAATGCTGCTTTGGCAGGAACAGTAAAGCATCCACAGCTGATATTGTGTTTCAAAACACAGCGCACTGTATCTCTCGTCCTCTAGGTATTGAAATGATATTCATATCGCATTTGAAGGCCACGTGTTAGTTTTGAATTTACCACGCAGATAACGTTTAACATCACTAAAGGTCACCGGGTTGAACTCCGTTCACTTGCTATTACTCTTGCTGTTTTACAGTTTAAGCGCCCTGGGTTTTTCCGCTGCTTGTCTGGAATGTGTAAATAAATATCTTTGCAATCTTGCGGCAGTGCAACCTGAACAAGAATCAACCGGAATGACATCATAGCCGTGTTGAAATAGGGATCTGTGGGAATAACGTTAGCGCTGTTTTGGGCTCCTAGGGCAAAGGGCATCGGGATCACTGGCACTATGTGGGATAATTCATAGTCAAGACCTCCTGGACGGTTACCATTCATGAGAATGTGAGGAATGACATCTGCTACCATGACTCTAGTTTACTATTTCATGCGCTCAACGATTGGTTAGATTAGTGAAACGTTAACCAGAAGCACCAGTTCAATGAAAATGTCAGTGTATACTGAAGATGGAAATGGCAGGAGTTCAGTTTAATAGTTTGGCGGTCATGCCATATTGTGTAATTTTCAAACCCGTAAATAAACAAGTGAACCGTATAGTACTGTTAAAGGAGTTCTTTCTCTATATGCATTCCCAAATGTAGCTTCTTCTCTCTTCTATCAGGTTTTTACTTTGTGTTCTTGCAAAAAAAAAAAACATGCACTGATATGTTGGCAATGATGGAATAAACAATACTTGGGCGTCGTGGAACATGTTGTGATTGCATAGTTGTGTGAATGCACGGTTCTGATAGTGCTGTTATCTGCCTCGAATGTCTTCAGGAAAGTTTTGTCTGTAATAAGGGCAGTCTGCATTACTTCACTACGAAATTTGTGTGATGTGTTCTAATGATGTGCTTTAGTTCTGATGTTGAAAAACCAAACCAATAAATTCTACTTCATTTATCTTGATTTGACAGAGTCTGCAGTGTATTTTTATTTTTATAAAACTTAATTTTAAGCCTATCAGTAGTTAAGGGGACAATTCACTCAGAATTATTGTCATGATTCAATTAAAAGTTATATAAAATTATCATAGAAGTTATGCATACAATTTGTGCGCTATATTTCAATTGTTAGGAAGTCATTAGGAAGTGTGTGTGTGTGTGTGTGTGTGTGTTTTTTTTGGTAATCGCCGTGACCGGATCGTTGATTCAGTGAGTTGAATTCGAGAACCGAATCAAATTCGATTTGTGATCGAATCACCTTTATAGCGCTTTATACAGTAGGCTACCGATTGTTTCAAAGCAGCTTCACAGAAATAAACGGGAAAATAACAGAATAAAGCAGCGCTAAGACGACAATATTGTCATTATTCAGCTCAAGTCAGTTCAGTTCAATAATCAATTATGAAACAAGTGCGGTTCAGCTGTAACCTTTTGTGAACGGAATCAAATGATTCATTGAGAAAATTAGACTCGAACGAACAATTCATTCATTGGACATCGTTACTTTTAAAATTCAAGGATTATCAGTGATTTATTTCGGTCCGTTCATCGCAGAAATATAGGCTACCATACGTCTTAAGAAGACGTGGAATACTAGAAACGTTTACAGTTTGTGGTGTTTTGTGTTAAACTGAAGTCCTTATTCGTTGTAATCGAGATGAAAAACGCAACCAGTCGCCATTTAAAAATCCCCCGAAGAAAGAGTCGTACGTGCATCAGGTGAGTAAACAGCATTTTCTTTTTTTGGGGGGATGAACTATCTTTTTAAATCTCAATCAAACCCGAATTTTAAAGGGGTTTCCTAAAAATGGCGGTCAATTGTGATCGTTTCTCTCAGTTAAGTGCTCGATGAGGGCTTTGCTTTAACTCGTGCAAAAAGCAATGTATGCGTGCCAAAATGATTTTGCTCGGTTAAAGGGATAGTTCACCCAGAAATGAAAATTCTGTCATCATTTACTCACCCTCATGTCGTTCCAAACCTTTCTTATGTTGAACATAAAAGAAGATATTTTGAAGATTGCTGGTAATCAAACAGTTGGTGGTTGCCATTGACTTCCATAGTA